AATAATATGCAATTAAATTTTTATTTATATATTTTCCATTTAATAAACATTTTTATAGCATTTTATCAGGCAGAGTGTAGATGTAACTATCATTTTTTATTTTTTGATCTTTTAGAACATAAATAATTCAACGGTCATTCCGGAAACAAAGAAAACAACGAACGACACGAACAGAAATCCTGAAATTACTTATGGTATTGATGATTCTCCACCATGGTATTTGTGTTTATTCATGGCATTACAGGTTTTGTATATTTCTGCTTTTTACTTTATTTCCGTATTTTTATTTTTTATATTTTAATTAATTAAACAAATTATTTTTTAAATGCGTATCTATTATTAATATGAATAAAAATGCAACAAATATTCCAAAATAGGGAATTCCGAAAAGTACATTAAAAGTACAAAGCAAACGTCATAATGTCTTATATTATACTATATAATTTCATATAATGAATAATTTCGTATGAATCTTGTGCTTTTATTGCGAAACGTTTACTCTACAGTCTACAAGATAAGAATGGGAACGCGTTAACAAGTGTTAATAAAAGTATGTTGCAATATTAATTATATCTTACGCATTGTCTTGTGCTATAAAGTTTATGGAGGGAAACGTCATTAATGCATATGCCGATTTTATTTACATAACTTTTAAGAATACGCACGTATAATATATATATACACATATATGGCTTATACAGTTCTTTAACTTGATATCGCATAGAACAAGCAATCACATTATTGAACGAATTATTAGAGAGAGAGAGAGAGAGAGAGAGAGAGAGAGAGAGAGAACACTCTTTCATCGTAATTAAATAATTCGAGTACAATTTTCTGAATCTAATACGAGAGTATCATTTTCTTTTAACTGAAAGTGCAAATTAAATAAAAACAAATGTGTTTTTAGCATTACTTGACTATGATTGGCGCCATCGTTTCTATCCCTTTTATTCTAACGCCAGCCCTTTGTATGGCCGAAGATGACCCCGCAAGAAGTCATATTATATCTACCATGATCTTTGTTACCGGTTTAGTGACGTTTATTCAAACTACCATTGGATGTAGGTAAGTTTAAAACTCTACAGTAAAATAAAATATACACACACACACACACATATATATTAATGACTATTTGCAAATATAATATAAAATTTAATATTACTTGGTACGCTTGTAGGAGTACTATAATAGCAAATTTTGATCGCGAAAAACCGTATGTTTGCATTAGGTTGCCATTGGTGCAGGGTGGTACCATATCGTTTTTGGTGCCAACTCTGGCGATATTGAATCTGCCGCAATGGCAGTGCCCCGCATCAGAAGTCCTCGAACAAATGTCCCACGAAAACCGAACCGAGCTCTGGCAAATTCGAATGAGAGAACTATCGGGTGCCATCGCCGTTTCCGCCTTGTTCCAAGTGATCATTGGATTTGGAGGTAAGCGCCCTTTAATTATCAAATCTGTTGCGTAATACAATTTTTGTTCTCTTTATTGAACTTTTCTTTCGATCTCATGACATTAAAAATGCATTTACATACAGGTATCGTTGGATATTTGTTGAAATTTATAACTCCGTTGACAATTGTTCCGACGGTTTCGTTAGTTGGACTATCTCTCTTCGAAAATGCAGCGGATGCCGCGTCCCAGCATTGGGGCATCGCGGTTGGGTATGTTTGTATTGTATAAAATAAATAATTATATAATAATTATACGGTTAAAATGTTTTCTATAAAATAAGCCATAAATTAATCGATCACAGTCGAATGTAAAATCGATTATGGTTGGTCAGCTTTTCTTATATGACTTAAGATTTGAAGTTGAAGTGGCTTATTATTTAAAGTCTTTAATTCTTAGATCAAAATCTAATAAAATTAGATAGTCGTAAGACTTAATAAATGCCTGTATACATTTTTAGAACGATAATACTACTAACGACATGTTCTCAAATAATGGTCAATATTCCATTTCCGTTTCTTATATACCGCAAAGGCCACGGACTCCACATTATTTGGTTCGATTTGTTCAAACTCTTCCCAGTAAGTGTCAAGAGATAAAGATTTTGAATGATAATGTTAATTACCATGGAACAATAAATTCCAAGCATTTTGTTACTTTTATCCGAAGAAAGTTTGTGTCTATTTATGAGATCGTTATAAATAAAATAAAACATTCATATATATAAATATCGCTAATATTTACTCATGTATTTAGAGCACTTGTTATATTAGGTTTTGCTGACGATAATTGTCATGTGGGTAATCTGTACCATACTGACGATGACCGACACGCTACCGTTTGGTCATCCTGCTAGGTCTGATAGCAAATTGAGAATTATAAACGACTCACCCTGGTTTCGAATACCGTATCCTGGACAGTGGGGTATACCTACCGTAACGTTATCAGGCGTACTTGGTATGTTAGCAGGAGTACTAGCGTGTACGGTTGAGTCCATCAGTTACTATCCGACCACCGCGAGAATGTGTGGTAGGTACATTCGTTTTAAAAATTATTTTCTCACGATTTTTCCTTTTAAAACCATTTTTCATTTATCAGTGCTATTAATTAATCAGGACTCTTTCCAGGAAAAATATTTTATTATCAATAAAGACGACCTAAAACAGAATAAGACTAGTTAAGAACAACATTTTTGTTAATGAGCTTATGATTTATCGAAAAACTTTTAGGGGCTCCGCCGCCGCCGGTTCACGCAATCAACCGCGGTATCGCTATAGAAGGTCTGGGTACGTTACTGGCCGGGCTTTGGGGTAGCGGCAATGGCACAAATACATTTGGCGAGAATGTCGGCACAATAGGTAACAATTATACATTTTAATCGCGAGCCTAACGTAGATTCTCGGTGTAACAGCATTATATCTGATAGAACGCAATGAAAATAATTAGGGGTCACCAAAGTCGGTAGCCGCAGGGTCATACAATGGGCGTGCTTCCTGATGATCCTGCAAGGTGTAATCAGTAAATTCGGTGCGGTATTCATCATAATTCCCGAACCGATAGTCGGTGGAATATTCTGTGTGATGTTTGGAATGATTTGTGCTTTCGGTGAGTATAAATTAGTTCTATCATACGCACTCGATTGCGAAATATAATTCGATCGTTTATGAATATTAAATCTTCGGAGCAAAAGGCACATTTCTCATATACGTAACTCTTAAACGAAATATATAAATAAAATATAGTAAAACGGCAGTATAATAAAATGTTAATACGAGCCTCCGCAGTTGTAAATCGTTTATAAAGCTGTAAGATACATATCATATATACAATTATTTACGCACTAAAAATCGGAGGAAAATTCTTTTCAGGTCTGTCAGCATTACAATATGTTAATCTCAATTCCTCGAGAAATTTATTCATCTTGGGCTTGTCCATGTTCTTCCCTTTGGTGAGTACGCTCCCCAGGATACAAATGTGTATTTAATTATATTAATTATTTTTGCTACTTATATGCGTGAACGTTTTCATATGTATATAAATTTTATATGTACATAAATGCCATGTCTATATATTTATAAGCAAAACTGAATACATATGCATGCGATTTTTTATAATCTATTTCAGGTTCTGTCGAAATGGTTGATTAAATATCCGGACACAATACAAACAGGAAATGCCGTGGCAGACAGCGTATTCACCGTATTACTGAGTACCACTATTCTAGTAGGTGGTGCGTTAGGCTGTTTCCTAGATAACATTATCCCAGGTACTATTGATAAAGGTGAATAATGATAGAATATGTGCTTATTGATTTATTTATTTAAATTTATAAGGTAACATAAAAGATCGTGGATTGGAGGCTTGGGCGAAAGAAATGGAATTGATTGACGGTACGGTTGACAAAAAGACTGACGAAGCGTCTGATGCCGAGTACGTCCAGAATACTTTTGACTTTCCGTTCGGAATGAGTCTGCTGAGAAGGTGTTATCAATATACAGTACAGTTTTTTATCTATATATGTACGAACAATGACAGTTGATATTTAAGTTTAATATTTTTCAGATGGAAATGGACAACACATGTGCCGTTTTTACCCACTTATCAAAAATTATAAATACGTTAAAATTAATTAATAAGTACAACTATTTCATGTGCATACATCTGGTTTGTTGCAAGATATGATCTTTAATAAACAAATGTAATGTAAAACGTTGACATATGTGATATCACAATGTTATACAAAATTTTATAACACATGATTATCGCTTTTCACACGCTATCTTAATTTCAGTTAATCATGTTTGCATAAATCGTAAAATCATTATGAATAATAACAATTTGATGTGTAAAGATCTCATTTTCAAAAAAGATAAAAATTTATACGATAATGATAAATTAAATATTATAATAATAATTTATATTATATAAAGAAATTAATTATTGTCTAGATGTATATAATGTTGTTAATAAACTTTTTATTAAAAAATCGAGAAATACTTAATGTGTAAGTAATTAATTGTAATCTATTAATGGCTGGAAGTTTTAGAAATATTAAAGTGCATAACAATCATAAATTAGTTATTTCAACTTATTTAATTTGATTTTTTTAGTTAATTTATTATGTTAATTTTGTGGTCAGGATTATGTTTATGTCTCGATATTGTATCTGCTAAAAATGTTAATGATGTAATGTTGTTTTGGGACACTAAATATATATAACTTATATAATTTTTTACAATTATTAATATATGTATATAATTTATTATAATACGTAATATGTTTATCAACGATTAAACTTCAAAAAAGAGTAAAGACGAGAAATATAAAGTTTTGTTAGAAAAAGAACAAATCTCACGTTTAAATTATAGGCGCTCTTGCGATTATACCGATTGCGCAAAATTCTTTTCACAAGTGAGTTCTCGTTTTGAATAGCGTTACTGTAGACTATCTTATCCAAATATAAATAGGTTAGTGTGGTTAACCCACAGAACATAGGGTTAACCGGTACGAATATGAGCCTTCAAAAAAGTATACAATAGTATTTCATGCAAATATTATTTGATATTATTATTTAATTACTCCATTTTTTATAATTTACATAAGCTCGACAACTGTAAACAATGGCTTCGTCCACCGATGTTGCTACAGTAAGTATTATTGATTGATTACATTGTAAATAACACGTCAAACAATACCTAATAATGTGGAGTATGTAAGTGTAACGTGAAGTAACACCAATATTTAAATACGATTATTATTCGTCATCGAATGTAACCTTAAGCGCGCATTGATTAACAAAAATTATTCTTATAATAACTAAGTATTACACGTTTGTTAAAAATTGACAAAAATTTAAAAAAGTCAATTTTTTTATAATGAAAAAAAATATGGGTTATATTTTTAGTCACAGTTATAACATATTTTATACTTTTGATTACATTTTTATTGTGTCATGTCCATTAATTTTTAGATCAGAGCTCAGAGATATTTAAATGAGCCGTTGGTGGAAAGATGCAGAGATCTATCTATTTTGATAGATGAATCAAGCACCACTGAGCTACAGCTAGTTTTTCCTCTTCTGATAGACTCCTTATTTGGAATAGTAGACAATATCGGATGGGGTTTACATAATATTACTCTTAAGAAAAATCCACATGAATATTCAGCATTGTGTCACTTTCTTAGTCCACAAGGACCAATGTTTTCTTTGTGTTATAAACTGCTTCCAGACTGTTATCTTAAGTACAATTTTCCAGTGTCATATCTTCCGGTATGCTTAAAAAATTAAATGATAAATTTACATGATACATGTAAATGTATTATTTTTTAAAGGCTATTTGTCATGTTATCATAGTGTTTTTCATTTTAGTCAAAAATATGCTCTATGTTGGAGGAAGCTATAATATCACCATTTTATCTTGATAAAATTAGAGATGATCAAGGGACACGTGTTCCTTCAGCTTTATCTATGAGTATCCTTTACTAAATGTAGTTAATAATTACTGCATTATACTTTACGAACACTAAATATTTCTTTCTTAACACAAATACATATCCCTTTGAGTACTATATCTTTCATTTTGCATATCATTTGACCAATCCCTGGTTACAACTCCAACAGCAAGAAAATGTGTGGATGAATTGGGAAACGGTTTACGTTCAATTAGCGCATTGTTATCTATACCATTTTCTTCCGAGAGATAATTCTGCGGTTCTACCAGTGATTGGGCCATATGTAAAGAAAACACCGCCAAGAAAATTAACGCAATCACCAGAATTTCGAAGGTACAGAAATACTTTTCTGTCTTATAACGAGCTAAGACATATATATTTGAGCAGCAAGTGTGTATTATTTATGTTTTAAATTTCAATTAGAGATTGTCAAAAATTGCAAACTCTGAGGCTTCTAAGAGCATCTATATTATCTTCTGGATCAACAAGTCCTGGATCCGGTGTGCCACAACAGCAGCAGTGCTTGCCACAAGTCTGGAGAAGTGAGACTGTAGTACAAGTCTTTCTCGATTTTTGGTTGGAATATACAGAGGACGCGCAATTGACCTCTCAATTGAGTACATCCTACTTATCTACGATACCGCGACGAGTAAGTTTTCTGTGTGTAATAAATAAAGTGATATATGATTCATGGAAAAATATGAATAAATTTACGAAATAAGAATAATTATATCTTTTCAAACGTATTTGATTGTAATTTCTAATTTCAGCATAGTATACATTCCGGAGAACACATACGTCTTGTAAGAGCGTTCATAAAAACGTTGCATGAGTTTACTAATAGTGCTACGGGCGACAAGAGCGCAATGGATGAATTGAAGAGGTAGTGAGATATATTTTACAAATTCTATAACTTTATAATTACTTTCAATATTATTCGTTTGTTTTATTTATATTTGGCAGAATAATTCTTCCTTCGGTTCAAGGAAAAATATATACATTTTTGAGGAAAGCAATATATCATTGGCCTCTGGACAGCTCGTTTAGATTGATACTAGAGGCTTGGTTAAGTTTTATTCAACCATGGAGATATGTACCAGGAGTAACATATACCAAAGAAGGGTACATAATACATCATTAATAATGTCAAAATATTGCTGTAGTGTTAATAATTTCTTTTTAATATTTTTAGTAAAGCAGAGGAAGAAGAAAGGGGCAAAATTCATGATCCCGTCAGATGGATCTCTTTCGTGGCTAATAATCTGTTAGCATATACACTTGTATTTCAGCAATTGCTTCCACGATTTATGAGAACTGACTTAGTAGCGCCTAAAAATGCATTAATGTTATTTAGAGTTACAAAAGTACGCGCATTTTTATCAGTTGCATAAATATATTATTTTGTATTAAAAAATGTATTTCTTATCTATATTCATATAGGTATTTTCACAACCATACTTAGCAAAAATGATATGTGAAGTGGAGAATTGTGTGGATGACGTAGTCCTTAGCAAAGGTCGAATAACTACAAATCAATGGACATCGATTATTAGACAACAGATTCTTGAACTGGAAGGTCCAACATATCAATACGTTCCCATGTTTTCGACAGCCATCAACTTGCAGGTATTTTTTACTCTCCAAAGATTGCTAAGTATATTAATAGTTAGTCTTATTAATAGGTGATTATATTTTGTTTTAGGTCATATGGTTTTTGAGTAATATTAAACAAGCGCATTTAACAGCGACCAGCTTGGTGGAAGCTCTGGAAAACAGAAGAAGAGGAAAGCGTTTTCTGCTTTCTCTATGGGAATTCTTTAGTTGCGAGGAATACTCCTCAGATGATATCAGCATAGATGAGCGACGACGCGTTCCTGTACTCTTGGCCACTGCTCAACAACAACTAATAGATATATTTCAAGTAGTGGAATTTCTTTTATGTCAATAATTAATCAATGTCAATAATTATTTTTAATAGCATTCACAATCGTGATTGTTGCAGATACAACTCGAAGACATTCCACAAGTTGCTATAGTAGCCGATCAAGAATATCATGACAGTATTCTGTCGACTTCTTTTTGTCATCAGTCGCAGGTATGGATTATTAAAATAAGTTTCTATTCAAATTCTTCGACCGATTAAAATCGGTGGTTTTTAGATGGAATCTAGCTTTGATTCAAGCAGACCAGGTACTTTCGTACCGTTGCAAGAAGGTAGACAATCGTGCCGATATGTCGAATATATGGGCGATCCAGAATTGCAACCAGTGCGAACAAACGAATGTGCTTTTCTCGTTAGAAACTTTTACAAGCTATGCTGTTACCTCAATCTTAAGGTACTGTATATGTAATTATATTGCTATTTTTCAATTTGATAACTTGCGATTTATTTGCAGTATCGATATGAGATAATCACACTATACAGCAAACGAAGCTTCCTTGGTAGCGTTTGTCGGCAATTGGTTGTCCCACCTACTACGATTGTAAAATTACCCAAACGAACATCAAACGGATTTAGCAGTGGCTCTGAAGAACGACTGCCACCTCGATTAAGTTTACGACCTTTAGCCAATTACACCTTTCTTATAAGTTTATTATTTGGTATACTGATCGCATGGCTCATCAAGTACGTAGTGCCATGATCTTTCTAAGATTGAGAAGTTATGTACGATAAGATATGTTGAATTATACACAGAATATTTTTTTTTACAGTTATGGTCCCTTTATGTTCTTGGGATTTTTATTTATTATGTGGATTATGTACGTAGTCATACGTGCAACATTGAAACACTATTTTCCATCTATCGCAAGTGTTTTTCGACAAAACGCAGTTGCACCTTCTATTAATCGATGATGTTTTAAAATAACGGACTATTTTGCTGTTTGTATAAGCAATTTTGATACATTTTTGAATAAAAAATAACAATTATATATTTTGGATACCTATGTATTTGTAAGTATATTAAATGAAGTATATAAAAAGTATATTCAATAATATATATTACTGTTTGAAAACTGTTAATTTAAGTAATTACGCTAAGTGATTGCATTAAATTGTATTTACATTGCAATTTATAACCGATGGCCTTTACGTTTTAACATAACTGCAAATTAATTTTTTAAACCATTTTGTAAATTGCTTATTTATATTTTTTATAACTTTATATTAAAAAACTTGCATATTATTTTTAATATATAAAATATCAAAATTATTTTTGAATGATTTCGAATTATTTCTTAAATAAATACAATATTTTTTACTATGTACTATAATTATAGTAATATACAGTTAAATTAATTGAATTTCCATTTTCGTGAAAAAAATCTAATTATTATATAATGTAAGTTAAGTTTAATTGTATTCATCGTGCGATTCGCGATGAACGGTACATGCTAGCTGTAATATATGATATTCATATTGGCACGATCTACGATTACTATAATGCTTTAATGCATATAGTAACATTAATAATTATTGCGCAGTAACATTAATAATTATTAATTCATCGTCCCGTGTCTAATCAAAAATAGCAAAAGCATAAGAACGATCAACGACGCGATCCACTTCTCTTCGCTAACGCGAAATTTAATCAACGTGATGCACACAACGGAAAAATGAGCTCGCGCATTCATTAGATAAATTGAATTCGGACACTGACGCGAATCGTCGATCAATGAAGCATCGAGTGCCCGCAAAAAGGATTAACCATTATATCAATACCCGCGGATACTCATTGGTTCTATAAATTAAAAATTTTTTAAGCAAAAATCCTTCAAACGCTTTCAAATTTCTACTTTTTGAATAATTTTATGTGGATTAGCGTATTTTAAATAAATTAATAATTCACATCGTTTGTAAAACTTGTTTCCAATCATTTTAAATGAATATTTTCTGTCTCAGATAATGTAATTATAAGAAAAATGTATGTATAATTTATTAAAAAAAAAAAATATTTTAATATATTACATAAATTTATTTTAAGTAATGAATAAATAATTGTTTTATATAGAAATTCTTCTAATCACTCGATCGTCTATTGTTAAACGTAATTGAAGTAATAAAATAATCAAGTAACTAAAAGAATTCATATGATTTTCGATAAAAAAAGATAGAAAGTATTTCTAGGAATTTTTTCAGACTTTTTCAGTTACCTAATATTTTAACTGATATTTTAAAAGTTCTTACAAATATTTTATAGTAAAATCTCATAAGAAAGTATAAGACATTTGTATATAAGAGCAATTCTAATAATTCTCGGCTTTTAAAATATTTATGAAATATAAATACAAATAATAAAAAACTTTTGCGTCTCCAAGAAAGAATAGCGGCTTTTGCATAAAAATGCAGTCTCCGTTTTTAAAGCGGGAGATTATAAAAACTTATCTCCTTATTCGCGCGAAGCTTATATCTAAAGTTCCTTTATCTTCAGATGCACTACGAATTATTTTATTGATTACTGAGCATCTAAAAATAAAGGAAGTCTTAAATATTATCTATATAAAGCCTGTCTATGAATACGGGCATTAAAGTATATGCGTTACAGTATCGGCGCGCAATTTTTTTTTTCTATTTTTACAAAACCTGCTAATGAGACTGTAACCCTACAGTTACAGTCATTAAAAGAACAACCTTCAAATTTCATATTAAATGAATATATACCTATCGCGGTCTTATTCCCTTAATTAGTCTTGTTTGCGTGTAACGATGTCAAATGCGATCGTGATTATTGCCGTTTGTAAATATTTGTCTCCCGACGGAGAGAAGTACACGGAAAAGCGTAATTATCTATTATTTTAACGGAATGAGAGGAGGGCAGAGGTAGCGCCTGTGTATTAATTTATAAAGTTTTACGCGTTTTACGTCATACGCGCGTGGCTTCTAATAAAAGTAAAACACCAGCAAAGTTGTGGACACGGACGTCGCGTGCACGCTGGTCGTGGACACGGGCGAGCTTTTAATTGGATCCCATTAAAAATCCCGCGTCGCTTTCCGCCTGCTTTCATGACCCCATCGCGTCTTCTCCCCGTTGTTAGACCGAGATGAGAAAAAACGACTGGTCTTTATTACTTCTGCGATAAGTAATGCTCGCATTACGCTCGTCGTGCACTTCGCCGCTTCGTTAAGCCATGGCAAGCCCACAAATTTGGGATACGCTTGCTTAGCGCGAACTGCTTGGAGTTTGCTTTTTTCATCACATCAATCTGTCCCCTATTCTGTATCGCGATGCGATATGGCAAGAGTGATATTTGCAGGCGATATTAGTCAGTCGTTCGTGTTGGGGAATCGTTGATCGTGCTTGTGCGCGTTAATGTTTCGGCGTAAGAATATTAAGTAAAATGGTATATAATCATATTATGGTACCTCCGAAAACATACATACGTTTTATCTTTTTGAAGGTCAAGGTCAGCTGTGACATATATCGTGATATGACAAATAACAGCCGGAACGTTCTCAGAAATAACATTTCGACCATTTTATTCTCTTTTTGATGACAGAATTATTGGAACGATACACTCCACGTATACAATTTTATTAAAATTAATGGGTAATTTCCTATTACCCATTAATTTTAATAAAATTCTTATATTGTGATCCACAAGGTAAATCTATTATATATATGCGTTGCTTTTTACAAATTTTTAAACAGAATAAAAAAGATGTAATTAATATCTTAATTGTTATTATATTACATAAATGATTTAGATAAAGAAATTTTTTCTGAAATTATTTAGAATAAAATAGATTCTTTAACCCTCGGAAAGGGGGGGAGAGCGCCAAAATCTGTAACACAGTTACTGACGCTGAGTCTGTAAAATCCATTTAATTCTATTATTCATGGGTAATGGATTACCAGTCGTACTCTTTTAAGATAAGTATATTCCTTTTGAGATCGTAAAACTTCTGTGATCGTTAAAATTTTATATTTATAAAATTATATTAATAGAAATTATAAAAATTATGTTTCTAGAAACATTTTATTTTATTAAGTACTTACAATTAGATGTAATGCATTATAAAATTGTACTCCCTCTTTCCGTCTCTGGATTGTAATCTTTTTTTTTTTAAATGTACATATGTACTTTTTCCTTGTGATTCAGATTATAAATTTACTATAAATACTATATTTTTCTAAACATATTATTATATTTAGCGCAAACTTTTTCATAATTAAAAAAATTTTGCATTTACTTTCATCTAACAGATTATAGAATGTTATTAAATTTAAATGTAAATCATGAAAAAAATTAAAAATTGAAATATAATGTTGGGATATCAAAAACACCCAACATCAATTATGTTAAAAAAACGCCGCGAGTAATATAGTGTTAATTTATGCTAATTAAAAAGTACCAATTAATTTTAAGAGACCAAAATAACTCGTATAAAAAATAATGAATATTAATATTATGTTTTAATAAGAAATAATTTAAATTTGCTAATGTGACATAAATGAAATTAAGTTGTTTGACATTTCTGACAAAAATATTTGTAATTAAATGTAAATTCACCATTTCGAAGGGTTACATTGATTTTACGATGTCTGCGTAGCAAATATTAATAATATATTTCATGAATTCCTCTAATATTTAATTATTATTGTAAAATAATTTTTCTATTTATTGTCTCTATTTTATTTTTATCGTTGATCTAAATATCAGAAAAGAAACATTAAAAAATGTCGCACAAAGACATTTACAAAAATCGATGAAAGGAAGATATGTTAAGCTTATTTTGACCTTAATAAAATAGCTATTATTTTATTTGTTCACTGAATGTACTTTTATGTATGTTCTTTCATCTGAATTTTCACGCAACACACATCGGCACTAGCTGATGGATCTGACGATCGGAGGCACAGCACTGGATTTAAGCTTACCTTCCGGCAATGCATTAGTCGTATTAAACCATTAGATACTCGGTGGTATGTTCCAGGGTGTGTTTACATGGTCGGTGTAACACGAACACGACCCATTTTCGATTTAGATCGCGATCGCTGGCGCGCTCATCGAGAGGCTGTTCGTTCGCGCGCGTCCGCGCACGCGAGAAAGAAGTCATTTAGCTCCGCGACGCAATTAGAGATCCTTTATGCAATGCCAAGCGCTCCGTTATGCGCCAGTTACGGACAATGAGTACGTAGGAATTACCGCAAATGGACTCGTTCACAGTTCGTTAAGGCCATCGGCGTGAAGTGCCTCACCGAATCGCAGTCCTATCCATTGCTTTCTCAGCCGGTGGTTGCGTTACTTCCCTGCGATTTTTTTTAAGACATTAATCATCCATGATTGATCTCCGACAAACGACCATGTCTTATTACTTTCGCATGAATTTGAAGAATGCAAAAGTAAAATGTTCTCACTTTAAAGTCTTAAACGTTTCGTAATTTATAAGATGAGATTGAAGAGTTGGAATTCCTTTTACTATAAATAATGACATTTTAGAAATTATTTGTTATACATATATGTCTCTAACAAAACATTTCTAAATAATGATACTCCATTATAATAAAATCCTTTATTACATATGTACAATTTCATTGTAATATAAAAAATTTATTCATATAAATATTCTTATATTTTAATATAATTTCAATTGTAATCATGAATATGAGAAAAATATAAGGAAAGTTTGAGACCGCCGGTAAATTGCTTTATACGTGATTCGATGAAAAACTCATTGAGAAATATGACGAAACGAGAACTGAAGAATATTCAAACCGACATTCGCGGTTACAAAGAACGATGTTCTTTGCAACCATGACAGAGAGGCGATATTATGTTTCAGATATATAACTAGGTGCACGTGTCCGCACGTATATACTGACTAGCCCAGCATCCGCGAAAGAGAGAAAGAAAAATTGTGGGTGC